AACAGAGCCAAATATCAGCAGTCCAATGATTGAAATTTCTTTTGAGGGCCCAATTTTTTTTAAACTTAAACTTCTTCTAATGCCACTTCTTCAAAATAGACTCGGCCAAGGCCTTGGTATTTTGTGGAAGAGCCACACTTAAGGTGCCAAAGAGCCGCATGTGGCTCACAAGCCACAGTTTGCCGACCACGGGGATAGGCAACAAGTTCAAGCCTCGGATTAATGAGCGGGCACGTGCAAATCCCATCTTGGAGGGCAAAGCCCTCCCAGCACAGTTATCGCCAAGGGCTGTGGTTGTAAGCTTGACCTTATGGTATTTACCTGTGGTCCCCTGTGCTGAGTAACGTGGACTTGATAGAGTTCATGCGCATGTACTTGAGTGGATTAGAACATTGTTAACATCTTGACCAGGCCCCTTCCTTTGCCTTGTGGAATCTGGCTATAAAATAAAGATACAGTTTTAAGGCTGTGGTGCTGTTGCTAGCTCTCCATCAGAGAGACCCATCCCACTTAGACCCAGCTTTTTTTCTCTTGTCTGTCTTTTCTCCATCCTTCACCACCTCCTCTCAGGCTCACCAAACCTCGCTGAGCTGGCTCGGCACAGAGAGCAGAAAGCTTCTCCCAGAACAAGCAGCCTTTGAGAAGCTACTGAAAGCCTTGCTAGGCCATGGCCTGATGGAGACCAGGGAGGACCCCAGTGGGTGTGGGAGTGGGTGGGGTCCACTCCATAGTAGGTGAAGGGTGGGGGAGGTCCCTGTTATAAACTGCATTGCTTGCCAGGGAGTGGAGTGGGAAATTGCTTCTGTTGATAGTGGGGAACCAGGGACTTGGTAGAATCAATAGTTCCTGACATGAAAGCAAGTGTTACTGAATGAGGAAAGCCCAAACCCAGCTTTACTCTTTTCTTATGGATAGATTTAAAAAAAAATAATAAAAATAAAAATCTACTACTTTAGCCCTGGCCAGTTTGGCTTCATGGACAGAGTGTTGGCCCTTGGACTGAAAGGTCCTAGATTCGACTCCAGTCAATGGCACATAACAATGCAGGCTGGATCCCTGGCCCTAATTGGGGCGCGCGTGGGAGGCAATCAATAGATGAATCTCTAACATCGATGTTTCTCTCTGTCTCTCCCCCTCCCTTCCACTCCCAAGTTTCTATCACTGTTTCCAGAGTTCTGTCTCTTTAAGAATATGAGGAGGCACCCCAGGGGGCAGCTTCTCTCCTGCATTTGGTGCTGCAGGGTGTCCTGGCTTTTCACAGACCAGCTCAAGGGCTCTGGATAAGCCCCCCCATGTCCCCTCTTCTGCAGTGTCGTTGTTTGTTTCCCTACTTCTAATGCCCGCGGTCTTTAGTGGAGTAAATGTTTGAGTATTTGCCATTGCAGCTGCAATTCAAAGTGGCAGGAGTCAGGTGATGAAAACACATCTCTGGCATTTTGAGAATTCAGGAATGTCTGTGGCCATCTGTGATTACTATATATATATATATATATATATATATATGTCAGCATTAAATCAATATCATCTGAATGCACATTCATAGGAACATCTGGCCTTTGCCCTCAACCCTGAGTTCGAATCCCACCCTTGCCACTTCCTGTGTGACTTTGATAAATTGCTCACAGCAAATTCAATTCCAGATCATCCTTATTTACCTTCCTTCCTCACAATAGACGCCCAGGTCCTCATTTGAACCATTGTGAATTGCCCTGTCCCCCTCCCCGCTGTCCCCATGCAGCCAGGTCCCTCTGTCCAGCCACAGCATCTGCAGGTGGCCAGCAGGCTCCACCTCAGCTCTCTCCCCCACTGTTCTCCAGCCCCTCCCCTCCCCGCTCAGGCTGCTCCCCCGCTACACTGTGGGGTTCCCTGTGGGAACATATCAGCGAAGCAGTCTCAAGCCCCACCCCCAGCACCAGTGTCTGCGGCCACGCTTGTGCTCCCCCGGGGACCAGGAGAGGGCATTCATGTGGGCTGAGCCCACCCATCTGTTAATGCTTTTACTCTGCCAGTCACCTCCTCAGGTGACACCATTCGATTGTACTTACTTAAAAAGTATGTTTATTGATTTCAGAGAGGAAGGGAGAGGGAGAGATAGAAACATCAACGATGATGAGAGAACCATTGATCGGCTGCCTCCTGTATTCCCCCTACTGGGGATTGAGCCCACAACTCAGGCATGGGCCCTGACCGGAAAATGTGATCTCCTGGTTCATAGGTCAACGCTCACTGGCCCAGCAACACTATTCCATTTTAAATGAGGAAGCTGAAGGCCCTTTGCTTACTTGCTTGAAGAAATTTTTATTAAATGACAATTGCCAGGAGCTGGGATACAGCAACAAACAGCAGACACAGCCTCGTCCTTCACTCTTCGTGGCACTTACAGGATCAGATGGCATAAATTCAGGAATCAGGGATGAAAAAAATAATAGACTATGTGAGGAAGGACACTATGAAAGGCGGGGCTGTCTCGGAGGTTAGAGGAGGCACCCTAGAAAGAGGCATTTCAGCCAAGACTCGAAGGCACAGAGTGATCACACAAGGGTAGTGAGTGCAGGTGCAGAAGTGGTAACTAAATGTGGGTGAAAGAGGTGGCCAGTTCAATTCCTGGTCAGGGCACATGCCTGGATTGCAGGCTCAATCCCCAGTGTGGGCGTGCAGGAGGCAGCCAATCGATGTTCCTCATTGATGTTTCTATCTCTCCCTCTCCATCACTCTCTAAAAACCAATATGAACATGTTTTTAAAAATTGTAAATGTGGGTGAATTCAGTTCTACCATGCCTCATGGCCTCCCTTCCTCTAAATATTTGCATGCATGTCATTGAATTTTTTTTTAATTGTATAAGTCCTCACCCAAGAATATGCCCCATTAATTTTAGCAAGAAAAGAAAAGAAAGGGAGAGAGAGAAACATCAATTGGTTGCCTCCTGCACACACCCCAACCCAGGAATCAAACCTGAAACCTGGGTATGTGCCCTGACCTGGAATTAAACCCACAACCTTTCAGTGTACGGGACAATGCTCCAACTAACTGAGCCACACTGCCGGGAAGGTTATTATAGTTTAGCATGTGATCTATAGCTCTTTCTCCCACTAGACCATAGCTCCTCCCAAAGCAACCTCATCTCCCACACACCTGCTACACAGTACAAGAAATAGGCCTAAGTAGATGCTCATTTAATTTTTCCATTTATGTATCTGTATGGAATTGCATGCATTTAATAATCTTGTAAGGGTGCTAAATTCTTCTGTGTACTAGTGTGTCCTGTTATTTCTTTAACCAACACATTGTTATGTTTTCCAAGGGTCTCTGAGCACCTAGACACACCCATGCTCAAGCTCCTTTTACTCCTGTTTTATAGCCTGGGGTGATCCAGGGCCTGAGTGCAAGGGGTGTAGCATCTGGCATCAGTTCTGCAGCAGGTGGGACTGGGATGCAGCTCCTCCATCTGTTAGAAATGACATTGAATGAATCCTGCCAAATGCTTCCAGGCCCTGGGTGAGGACAGTGTGTGCCTGGCACGGTGCAGAGTGAGGAATACATGGTGGAAGCACATGTGCGATCCAATGAGATTTTCTTTTCCTGACACTCAGCCGCTCACAGTGGGGAAGGCCCCTAGTCCGTGCACACACACAGAATATGTGGCAGCTCAGTGCGTGCAGGATTCCAGGTGGGTATAAGCGGAGGGAGTGGCTAGCTTCACAGCGGGTCAGGGGGAGTGTAGGAAGGTGTGCCAGGCAGTGAGTTTCTCTTGCTGATTGGCAAGAATTATGTCAATTAGCCAAGGAAAGAGGGCAGGATGTGGTAGGAGCAGGCACAGACAAGAGGCTCAGCCTGTGCAGAGGCCCAGAGAATGAGAACGGCTGGCACCTTTAGCCCCTGGACATGCCCACGAGAGCCAGCCGGGTGGTGGGTGGGTGAAAGGCAAGGTGGTTGGTTGAAGGTCAGACCCATCGGTATAGTCTTCATTTCCATTAAGAAATGTCTTCCCGCCGAAACTGGTTTGGCTCAGTGGTAGAGCGTCGATCTGCAGACTGAAAGGTCCCAGGTTAGATTCCGGTCAAGGGCATGTACATTGGTTGCGGGCACATCCCCGGTAGGGGGTGTGCAAGAGGCAGCTGGTCGATGTTTCTTTCTCATCAACGTTTCTAGCTCTCTATCCCTCTCTCCTCCTCTCTGAAAAAATCAATAAAATATATTTTAAAAAAAAGAAAGAAAGAAATGTCTTCCCTCCTGCTTTTCTTGACTTGTGCCAACTTAGACTGTCCTTCCTTTTTTTCATCTCTGATGGAAACGTGGGTAAAGAGAAGTTATTCTCCAAGAAACACGGCAGTAAAAACCCAAGATCCTCTCCATCTGTAAGTGATACTCACTGCCTGATGGCAAGACACCTGGGAGTGGCAGGGTCTGGGGTAACCTGGAAAGCATGTCCTGCCTCTGAAGGGGCAGCTGGAGGTAAACGGTCTTGCAATATTTCAGAAAAAGCAGGCAACCTGGATTGTCAGCAAGTTAGCTGTGTTTTTAAAAATGCTTTGATTTAGCCCTAATTGGTTTAGCTCAGTGGATAGAGCGCCAACCTGTGGACTCAAGGGTCCGAAGTTCGATTCTGATCAAGGGCATGTACCTTGGTTGCTGGCACATCCCCAGGAGGGGGTGTGCAGAAGGCAGCTGATTGATGTTTCTCTCTCATTGATGTTTCTAACTATCCCTCCCCCTTCCTCTCTTTAAAAAATTGATAAAATATATTTAAAAAAAAAAAAAGGAAATCCTTGACATGAGCCTTAGTGATGACAGAATAATATATTTTTTAAATGCTTTGATTTAAAAAACAAAAAACAAAAACACACGAAACAGAAGACATCTGCAAGCCAAGCCTTATTCCTGGGCCATGCTTGCAGCGTCTTGCTCAAAGGCTCCAGAGGTCACGAGGGCATGTCAGACCCTTCCACCAGCCACTGCTCTGCTCTCACTTCCCTAACCGTGCTTCTCCCTGCTTTCCAGAAGGAGATGACCAGCCGGATGTGTCACTAGCGCCCCGCCCTCCCCTGCGCAAGAAAGAGGGAAGCTGCTCGGTCCTGGAGGCCCAGGTGGGCGGCAGGAGACCTCGGCTGAGATGGAGCTCGGACTTCCAGGAGCCGGCGAGGCGGAAACCGGGGTGACTCCTCCCGGAGAGACATGCCCCTCACTTCCTGCGTCTTCACCCTGAGTGCTGCTAGCCTCGTCCTGTGGACCTGGCCGCCCACGGGACGCGAGAGAAGGACCCCCAGCCCATCGTCCGCAGGAAGCCTCTGCGCCCACGCTGGGCGGATCCGGGCTGTGAGACTGAGACACTGTGTGCTTTCCCGCCTCGGTCTTGTCCGACCTTCCTGTGCGTGTTTTCTAAGTCCCGGGTGCATTCGGATCTCTGGATGCCCTGTGAGTCTGAAACAAGCCTTCTTCCCATTAGAGTCCCTGCAAATCCCCACCGGGCTCCTGTGGTCTGACTGTGCGCAGGGCTGTGGGGCTGGAGACCAGAGGCCCGAGCAGCATCCACACCTTCTCCCCAACAGGCAGTGTATCAGGGACACCCCCTGCAGGGTCTGCACACTTACCGACAGGGAAGAGCCTGGTTTCCAGGCACCCGCTCACCCTGAACCGAATGTGTTTTATCACCACGCCGTTCCTTGTTTCTCCCAGAAGAGAGCAAGGGGAGGGGGGGTAAATGACCAGGGATGGTCTGCAGAAGCCCTGAGCCAGATTAGTGCCGTGTTTGTTCTTCACTGGGGAGGAGAGCGGGGAGTCATGGCTGTCGCTGCTGACACCAAATTGCGGAAAGAAACAACCAAAGTACAATTGGCTGCTGGCGCATGGAGCTCAGACTCCGGGTCACTGCCCGGGGACCTCCCTGGCAGGCCCTCTGAGCGTCTGGGCCCGGCCATGCCCGCTTCCTCTCCCTGCACACTCTCCCGCCTCTGCTGTATGACAGGATGGCCTGAACTAATTTCTGCCCCAATGATTGTGCCACGGTTGTCAAGGTAACCGTGGAGCAGCAGCAAAACACTTCCTTCCTCCACCCTGCCCAAGTTCTCCATCTCCGTGGGGAGGATAACCACTGTGTTATCCGCTTCCTGCCTGTGGAAGCCCCGGGTAGTCTCCCTGCCCTGGTTCATTCACCACCAGCCGAGGCCCCGGTGCCTGTGACTCAGTGGTAATGACACTTCCAGTGAATTGAATATGGCAAGTTTTGAATATGGCAAAATGGCCCTTGGTGGAGGGAAGTAGACACGAATGTACTAGTGCATTTTAATGTAGTACCGATTAAAGGAGAACTAAACCACTCTGGTTTCTGTTTCGTTGTACATAACGCAGTAAAGCCATTCGTGGTGGCCACAGGAGCCCAAGAGCATAAAATCGTTCTTTGTCCAGACCAGGGGTCGGCAAACTGCGGCTCAGGAGCCACGTGCGGCTCTTTGGCCCCTGGAGTGTGGCTCTTCCACAAAATACTACGTGTAGGCATGGACATACAGTGCGATTGAAACTTCGTAGCCCATGCGCAGAAGTCGGTTTTCGGCCTGGGCGAGTCTATTTTGAAGAAGTGGCGTTAGAACACTCAAGGGGCTGAAGAGTTGCATATGGCTCTTGGGCCGAGGTTTGGTGACCACTGGTCCAAACTAAGCAAGGGCCGACTGTCTGGGCTTACCGTCTGGGCTCGGTGGCATTCTGCATTGACCCAGCCCAACCCTGACTTCGCTCTCGTCCACATTGTCTCATGGGATCCAAATGCTGCTACCTCTCTCCGTATGGCTGTGCTCTGGTCAGCAAAAATCACTGTCCTTTTATTTTTGAGAGAAGACAGGCAGAGATGTGTTAGCTTTGTTTTTAGATCCAGAGAAGCAGGAACAAGAGCCCCCGCAAGACCACACACAGCAAGTGCGGCGGGATGCACGCTGGGACAGAGAATGACCTCGGAGCGGCTCGGACGCCTGCACCTGGGACAACCCCGGGGGCTCTGCATTGAACACGGACTGCGTTCCCGCATCTCCGTCACCTAGGATGCTGGACTCTGGAGACATTTGTTATTCATTCTTCTTAAGGTTGTTTCTGTTCACTGTTGGTGCATCTGAAATTTCCATTCCGTTTAAAACTCCAAATATTTTTTCCAGCTCCGTGGAACAGATTCCTCCTGGCTATCCTGCTAACTGCGCTAATCAACTCCTCTAGAATACGCGGTGGCACACAGCTCTTGTTTTTAACTACAGAATATCTTTATTCCCACAGAACCTTGTTTGGCAGATTCTAAAGAAAATCATTACGGGAGGGCTTTTGTTTTGTGTTTTATCTTTTTGGCTCGACCACCTCACAAGTATGCCCTATTATGAACTCAGGACCCCTCAGGCATCCCTGACTCTGGGCCTAAGACTGACCCCTGGCTTCTTCTTCTGAACCTGCTGGCTTTCCACCTCCCACTCTCTTTTCATTGAATACATGTAGCCACTCCTCTTCTTTCTTTCTGAGAAGCTTCAGAAAGGAAAGATTCTAATGAACATCCATAGACCTTTCTGTCACAGGCATCAATTGTTAGCATTTTTTTTCAGTGGTTAACATTTCCGTATGTTCTTTCCCTCTCTGTAAATATACATTCTTATGGATAAACCATGTCAAAACACACTGCAGACATTATAAAACTTTAAAATACTTTATCACTTGTCACTACCTTAAGGAAGATCCAAAGACCACATAGAATAAGTAAAAACATAGCAGATGAGAGCTTTGGCTGCATCCCCGTTCATATTTGAAGACCATTACTAATGGCCCTTCAGCTTTTTCCCCTGAGCCAGCTCTCGTGGGCAGGATTCTCTTAGAAGACTGTTGCTCCTCACTAAGCATTGTGTAGTCCAGGCGAAGCCTTCTCAAAGCTCTCCCTGTCCCTGTGCGTTAGGATGGAGCCCAGAGTGAACATGTAAAAAATCAGTGCATGTTTCCTACAAACTATAGTGTGCCTTAGTTAAATCCGGCTTGATTTTTAAACATTTATGAAATGTCTGATCTGTTTGCCCACACTAAATCATCATCTACATTATATTCACCCATTTTGATGTAACTTCTTGAGTTTTGTTTGTTTTAAACACCTCTTTAATTGGCAGAGTAGAAAGGGACTTGGATAGAGTTCTCACCGTTTTGTGGTGATTTACGCCAATCCGTCCACCTGGTGACCAGTGGAAGCACGGCACTTCCTGTGGCCCCTCGTCTTACATCACACCCACACCCCTTGAGCATCGCACGGTGAGGAAAGAAATACTGTGGGAAAGGCATGGCCACAGCTCAGAGGAGCGTGCGAAAGGGTCAGATGTGTCCCTTGGGTAATCCTGATGTCATTTGTTCTTGGGTCATTTTGGTCCTTGATGAATTAGATGATTCTCTTAGAATTATACAAAGTGTGTTTTGGGAAGAATAGATTTTTTCCCCCTGCTTTAAAAAATTATATCAACAATAAAACAAAACAAACAAAAAAAAGCATATCTCTTTACAGCAGGGTATTTCTTTCTGGGCAGTTATTAATTCTGGGTCAAAAGTTTTCAATGAGTAAATAAGAGTTTGTATAACTTTTAGAATGGAAGAGTCCAGTTCCAGTCTGACAATTAAGCTGTTTTGCTAGCCTTTAGTGTTCTAATTTCAAAGTTTCCAGTATCTTTTCTAATTGCATCAGAAAAATGATTATTTTTTTAGTTCCATTTGTGATTAAATTAAGGGTTTGACAGTACAAGCCTACACAATTGAATCAATTAGAAAAGCAAGATAAAGCAAAATAACATTTATGAAATCAATTCTGTGTGAGCTTGGGAATCCAAATGTCAACAATAAAGGACATCTAATCATCATCTATCCTGTCCTTTTCTATGTGTGCTCAGTTTATTTCTTCATCTTGCAGTGGGCCTGCATCAGCAAAAATTGAGACACTTCCTTCCCATAAAAATTGAACAGATCATCCAATCTATCCAATCTTTCTATTATCCTGACTTAGCTCTGTGTCCAAGCAAACTTCATTGCCACACTGACTAAAATGATAAATGTCCACTGAAAAGCAATGGTAGCATCATATATTATAACAATAATTCATTTTCTCTGACTTATCTTCTTCCTTGTGAAGGAGATTTTAGCGGAACACCTTACTTTCACTGAAATTTCTCAATATTTTAATGCAGTGTTCACCATCTGAGTTTTTGTGATAAAAAAAAAACAAGCAAAAATTCACAGTACAATAAATTAATACTAAATGAGGAAATTCAATTCAATCTAGCTAACCTTTGATTTTCTAACTGTATTACCTCACATTCAATTAAGCTGAACATCTGCTCCAGAGAAAATCATATCATATGACTGAGACATGACCTCACATATTATCAAATCAGCAAAGGATAAGAGTCCAAGCATCTTTAAGAAATACATAGAACATAGTGGGAAAAGATAGCAACAGAATCCGCTGTTATTAACTCAGAAGCAGTATTCCGGATACCTCTTCTCCATGGTTGTGCATATTATGTATCTACAATGATGATTTGTACAAAACTCATGCTAACTGACTCCCACAAGAGTCAGCAGCATTTGGAAAATTCATAAATTGTGATTTGTTTGTTTGCCTAAGTAGTGGCTCTCAACCTTTCTAATGCCTCAACCCTTTAATACAGTTCCTCATGTTGTGGTAACCCCCAACCATAAAATTATTTTTGTTGCTACTTCATAACTGTAATTTTGCTACTGTTAATGAATCATAATGTAAATATCTGTGTTTTCCAATGGTCTTAGGCGACCCTGCTAGCGGTTCTCAACCTGTGGGTCAAGACACACAAATTGAGAACCGCTGCTGTAGAGCCTAAGACCATCGGAAAACACAGATATTTACATTATGATTCATTAACAGTAGCAACGAAATTAATTTTATGGCTGGGGGTCACCACAACATGAGGAACTGTATTAAAGGGTTGCGGCATTAGAAAGGTTGAGAACCACTGGTCTAAAGGCTAATGACTTCACTTGGCTTGTCTCAGTCAGAAATATAATCCCATGGAGGTACGGCAGGGGCATGTGGCCTCCAGGAGTCTGGTTAAGGTGAAGCCTTCGGGAAGCTGCTGAGGCTTTTTAACATCGGCTGGAAGTGAGGAACCGGCTGCCCAGTCCTGCCCTACCTGTGGATGAGAGCATAGCCCCTTCTCTGCTCAAAACCCTGCAATGCTACCCTCTATGCTCAAATTAAAAGCCTCAGCTCCCCCTTTACCCCTCCATCCCAGGCCTCCCTCCCCCAGCCTCCTTGCTGGCCTCACACACACAGGCACAATCATCTTTATGGCCTTGCATTGGCTGTTCCCCTGACTGTATGCCCTTCCCCCAGATGGCCTCGGGGCTAACTCTTTCTCTTTGAAGTTTTTGCTTAAATGTTACCTCAGTAAAGTCCCTGACTATTCATCTGCCCCAAAGGACACACAAACCCCCTTTTTGTGCTCAAATTTATATTACCCTTAGCATTTATATTATATGAGAGGCCTGGTGCACAAATTCGTGCACCAGTGGGATCCCTCAGCCTGGCCTGCAGGATTGGGCCAAAACTGCTCTCTGACATCCCCTGAGGGGTCCTGGATTGCAAGAGGGTGGAGGTCAAACCAAGGGACCCCACCATTGCACAATTGGGGCCTGGGAGGTTGGCCAGCCAGGGAGGAACCATGGGAGGACTCAAGGGCACGTCCGGCTCATCTCGCTCATTCCTAATCAGCCAGACCCTAGCAGCAAGCTCCGCATGACTAGTGTTGAGTGCTGCTGAGTGATTGAGGGTAACTCCAGAGGTGAAGGTGGGGTTCCTAAGTGGGAAGGAACCAGGGAGACAATCAGAAAATCCTGGAGGATTCGCCAGCGAGCAATTACGCTGCTGTAACAAAGAAGGAACTCTTACCATTTGCAATAGCATGAATAGAACTAGAGAGCATTATGCTAAGTGAAATAAGCCAGTCAAATAAAGATAATATCACAGGATCTCACTCATTTGTTGAATGTAATGAACAACATAAACTGATAAACAAAAATAGAACCAGAGACATAGAAGCATGGGACAGACTGTACAACCTACGAGGGAAGACAGTGGGTGAGGGGTAAGAGATCAACCAAAGGACTTGTATGCCTGCATATGAGCAAAACCAAAGGACACAGACAGTAGGGGAGTGAGAGATTGTGCTTGGGGGAGGCTATGGTGGGGAAGAAGTCAATGGGGGAAAAAGGAGACCCATGTAATACTTTAAACAATAAAGAATTTTTAAAAAGAGCACATAAGGAATTTTTAGGTTTTG